AGATGGTCAGTCACACTGCTGCCTTACCAGGTGGATTTTTTTCCTTCCCTTATCCTGTGCCCTGCAATGAGATGCTCCCTTGCCTGTTAATTATTTTATTTGGCCTTGCTGACACCTGGGCTCTTTAATTAAACTCTCCCATCCCCTCAACTCCTGATCATCTGTGATCTGAGGGCAGCAACCTTCCTTAAACCTCAGAGGAGCCGATTAAAACGATGCAGGCGGATGCTTTATTCCAACATACCGAGGGTGACATGTGCCCTGCAATGAGATGCTCCCTTGCCTGTTAATTATTTTATTTGGCCTTGCTGACACCTGGGCTCTTTAATTAAACTCTCCCATCCCCTCAACTCCTGATCATCTGTGATCTGAGGGCAGCAACCTTCCTTAAACCTCAGAGGAGCCGATTAAAACGATGCAGGCGGATGCTTTATTCCAACATACCGAGGGTGACAACAGCGAGCGCTTTCGCAGGCATTTCGCCCCCAGATGCTCCCTGCCAGCATTTGGCATCCGCCGTCCGTGCAGAACGATCCCCCATCTCCAACGGGGGAGAAGCTGGGGCTTTGCAGCCAGGTTAGTGATGCGGTGGGTGAGGAGGGATGGGGTGAAACGTGGTGATCAGGTGGGTTTCTCGGCAGTGGTGCTGATGAGCAGTGGGATCTAGCTGTGTATCCCAGCCCTAGGGCTGCTGGAGGGGTTTGGTGGATGTGTGAGAGCTGCTGAGCCCCATCCTGCTGGGTTGGGGCTGCTGTAGGGTTTAGGTGGATGTCAGAAAGCTGTTCCGAGCTACGCTGCTGCTCAGAGAGAGGTGGGGAGGAGGGGAGGGGTGTCCAAGTGTGACTTTCACCCCGTGCAGGGGGTTGTCTCTGAAGAAGACTGCTCTGCTCTCTCTCCAGAGCCTCTCTGACCACTCTGTCAGCACAGACCCACCACCGGAGAGGACAGGGCGAAGGCAGTAAGTATCTTTTTCTCTATGTCTGTCTGCAGTGCCTCTGTGTTCTTTTTTTTTTTTCCCCTGGCTTTTTCTGTATGTGAATGGATGGTCTTAATCCCTTGAAGCCCCTCAGATCTCTTGGTTGTTTTTTTCTTGTTCTTTTTTAACCTTTTGTGCTGCTTATTTTTTTCTATTGGGATGGCTTCTTTATCTTTGTTCAGGTGATCTCCTGGGGTGGTTTGATAACCTGTATGTCATAATCACACCCCTCCCTTTAGGGAGAAACCCCTAAAACATATCCATGATGAGACTGGCAATTCTCCTTGACCTCCTGGTCCTTTCATAGGAGGGGGAGGTAGGATGAATGATGGAGCAGGAGGCAAAAAACCTCACAGAGATGCCTTTACTGGACACCACAGATTAAATTTCTAAAGTCAAAACTGACTGGCTTTATTTGCAATCAGAGGAAATACCCCTGGGTATGTCAGCCTGGCAGTGGGAATTGCTTTCAAAGGAAATATAGGTCTTGGCGTCCATGAAGTCAGATGGACTTTGGGATCCCAGGGAAGTTGGGTGCTGCTCAGCTGTGCAGTTGGTTGTTGTGGGGGGTGAGCAGAAGGCTGTTTCATAACAGTACCCCAAAAACCAGGCTGCTTGGGGAGGCTGGAGGGAGAGGGCACCCAGCTCCACTTCCCACTGTCACTTCAGAGCAGCAGTGGGACAGAGGAGTAGGGGCTGCTGGGCTGTAGGGAATCATGTGCTGTGGCCCCACATGTGGGTGAGGCTGTTAATGAGGAAATTTAAAGGGGCTTAAGGAATTACAAGGATTGATTTCAGTTAAAGCGCATCGAAGCAGCCGGTCAGGGTAAGGATTAAGGAAATGCACTCACTGGCATGTAGCGCAATCCCAGTTCCATTAATTTAGTTGGGAAGAGGCTTTGTGTGTTTATAATGTAATCAGGTTTTAAAAGGGATGTTGCACTGGGCGGCCCAAGCTCTGGGATCTCCCCAGGCCCCAGACGAGCAGGGTCCTGACTTCCTCGCACAGTCTCTGCTCTCATCAGTTCCTTTGTCTCCTCCTCGGTTGGTCCCTCTGGGCAAGAGGACATGGAGGTTATCTGGACCTTGGCCCCTGTCCTGGCAAACAAGAAGCCTTTGCCCTTTGTTCACTCTATAGTCCTGCCCTCTGTCCTCTTGATCTCCTGGCTGGTGGATCTCACCTTTGCTCTCTGATGTGAGATTTGTTCAATCAGCTGCCTGTGTGCCCAGGCTCGGGGGGACCCTGCCATCCCCTCTGTCCCTCCTTCCCTCCCCTTTGCAGACAGTGCATCTCCTGGGTAGCTCCTTGCAGGCTCCCACCACCCCGAAGAGGAGATGCTTTCTTTGAGTTATTTTTGTGTGAGTGTTTGAGCCTGTGATGGTGAAAGGACCAGCATCTGCAGACACGTGAAGTCCTCCTGTTATTTTATTTGCAGTACCAGCTTTTCCATGATGCCTGGCCAGTAACATCAGCCATGACCTGGAGGGACAGGGACAAGAGGTAGTTTGGTCTTCTTAGCGAGGTCAGCTCGGAGCTCTGCCTGTTGAGGAGAGACCTTCAGAGGTGTTGAATGATGAGTGCGATAATGCCAACTCCTGCTGCTCCGTGGTGAGCTGCGACGCCAAACTCAAATCACTTTAGACCCGAAGCTGGACTTAACCCTCGGTCCTGGTCTTACAAGGAAATGTGGTCTCTCCTCTGTGATCATCCCTCAACTCTGAACATCTTCCATTGAGAAACCGACCTTCCACGCTAGGAGGCAAGGATCAAATGGGTTGAGGACCCCTGGCCATCTTTTTTTTTTTTTTTTTTTTTTTTTTTAAATTTTCACAGAGGATTCTCTGATCTATTTTTAAGTGCCAGGACATGACACAGTAAATCCTTCCTCTCTGCACTCCTGCTAACAGTCCCGACTGCTGTCCAAGCCAGCCAGTTAAAGGGTTAACTCTAACTGGATGCCTGAATGGCTGCCTTACTGATCCCACGGAGGTAACTGAAAAGACACGATGCATCCCTCACCCCTGTCCATCCTGTCGCTGTCTACCTCGTCCAGCGAGGCTTTCAGCTTGCTGCAGTGTCCCCTCTTCCCTCCTGCCCTTCCCTTGCCTCTCCACCTCTTCTGAACCCAGTTTCTCTCCCTCTTTCTCCTGTGTCCTGTCTTGGAAGTCCTCATCTAGAGATTGGTGTTCCATGAGACACAGCAGTGGTGCAGCATCTCTGTCCCCTATTCGCTCTGGTTCCCTGCTGCAGTCCCTTGATCTCAGGCATCAGAGAGCAATCAGAGCAGCATTGCGGTAATGCATGGCACACCTCTTGCTGAGAAATTCTTGAGCTTGCTAGAAAAAAAATCAGGGCAAGGAAGAGAAAGGTTGGAAGCAGGAGGTATCAGGAACGGTACCAGAAAGATCCTATAGCAGAGTCGGTGTCTGTTTGGGCACAGCAGGTCCAGCATGCTCAGCCAGGAACAGGACACTTTGCAAGTGGTATTTTTGCACCCATGTTTGAGGTCGATGTGACGTAGCCTCCTGGGACCACTGGTTGTTGGTCCATATTTTGAGGCTGTGCAACGATTTCTGCAACTGAAGATCTTCAGGTTCTTGTGCTTCTTAAATGCTGCGAGCTGCCTGTGCTGTGCCAGGGAGACACTCGTTGCATTTAATTAACATTTAATTTGCTTTGAGATTACATTAAAATGTGCAATAATAGTAACTCTCCGAAGGGCGGGAGGAGAAGGGGGAAACAGGCGTGCTACAGCTTGGCTCAGTTGCTGGTGCTAAAGTGTTCTGCAAGAATTACATATGGAAGGGGAAAAAATACTGTGCTTCCCTCTGCAGTCACAAAAAGTATTTGGCATCTGTTTGGCAGCAGGGCTTGGAGAAAGGTTTTCTCCAGCTTGGAAATGGGTCAAGCAGCTGAGAAGTGGAGACTAGGTCGCTAAATCCTTCTTCTGTGGTCTGGGGGAGAGAACAGCCTCATTTGATGTCTGGGGAATGTAGTGGAAGGGATGTCCTTGGGCTTGGAGAGGCAAACAGTGGGTTCTGCCCTTCTAGAGACCATGTAAAACTGGTAACCATCACCTATATATGTTTTTGAGAGGAGATGATGCCAGTCCTGTACAGTGCATGTGTGTGTTGCGTTTCCCTCTCCATCTGTGTTCCTCCCTGTCCCAGGTTTATGTAACGAAGGATGCTGCGGACACGCCGGCTATCCTGGGAAGGGGCTGGTGAGGATGTGAGGGGCCAGCGAAGGAGCCAAGGGCTAGTTTGAAATTTAGAGGAAAAAAAGCAATAAAACCATTTTCTGCCTGGATAAGCCTGTCAGGAAAGAAGCAGTTTTACTCTGCTTATTCAATCCTGAGTCTAAAGAAGTTGCTTGGGATCTCAGCCCGGGTCACCTTGCAGGTGCCTTGCTCCCTCTCTTCATCCTCCAGCCCCCTCCTTCCCTCAAGCCCTGCTATTTGTGCCATTTCTGGTGCTGCTGGGTTGTGGTGACTGATTTGTGGTGGAGCAATACCAAAGAGCCCTTTGCTCTCCTCCCACACCTGACCAGAGCAGGTCTTTCCAAGAAACCATCCCAAAGCGCAGCCTTTAAAAGCCTTTTTGCCAGTCAGAGCAGCTGAGTGACTGCTGTGGGTAACCTTCAGCTGCTTTGGTGCTGTCTTCATCCTTACTGTCTGCTTAGCATCCTACTGGAGATGTTTCAGGGTCCCTCCCACAGATGAGGGAACCAAAAAACACATGTTTGATGGAGCATGGAGGCACTGAGTGGTTTTTTTGGTTTTGTTGGTTGGTTGTTTTTTATTTTTGACACTCTGGCTAAACTTATAATCATCATCTTCTTTGATTTTCCCCTGCTCACACCCCTGCTCCCCCACATCGACCACAGGAACAGAGGGATGAGGACTCGCCTGGGCTGCCTGTCTCACAAATCAGACTCATATAATGATTTCACAGCTATTCTTCCGGACAAGCCCAACCGGGCTTTGAAGTGAGTATAGCTGCAGCATCCCACCCAACCCCATTTCTGTCCTTCTCCTCCCTACCCACCACCCACTCTAGTATTATCTTCCTTTTATTGTACTTTGTATAAGCTTTGAGTAGTTCTTCTAGCCACAAGGAAGGAGGAGAACAAAGCAGCGCTGCTACAGCAGGAACAGCCTCAGAAAATACCTGGATCTTTGATATGAGTTCTCCCATGAGACAGAACACACACATGGTCCTTGCTGCTGTACTTGGGTCATGTCTGCATGTATTTGAAGATGTAATTTATCCCTCTGTCATCACAAATCAAAGTCTGAGCAGTTGACTCGATATAAGAGGTGACCAGCGATTTTAGGTCACAGTCCTCCTTAGCTAAGCCTTGTTATTAAAAGTTACCAAAAAGTCCCATATTAGTTTGCACAACACTTAAGGAAGATGTTTCAGACAATCCAGTCCTGATTTGAGATGAGTGGGATGGGATTCATCTGATCACAAGTTACTGCTTACGTCTAAGCTAAGAGCCTAACCTTCCCTTTAAAGTCAGGAGAGAGAAATAAACACTTCTGTAGGGCTGGGTTTCACTTCACTTCACTTCTGGCATTTACAATGTAAACGTCTACATCTGAACTCGTTCCTTGGGCTTCTGCTTAGAGTCAATGAGGAAAAATTGTTCCTTTTTTGAATGTGATTCATCTGGCCTATTTTACCCGCCTACTTGAGGATGTGAGGTGAAGAGAGTCATGTCCCTGCAAGTGCTTTGGTGTCTCCTCACTGACTCTAAAGGGAGTCCAGGGTGACTTGCTCACCTGGAGACCTCTACACTGTAGACCTCCAAAGTTAAGTGAGAAGAAGCCAGCCTTCCTCGGTGTCCTTATCAAACAGCCCCACAGGGGATGAGCAGCCATGGGTTGTCTGTAACTTGCCTGTTCCTTTCTTTACAGAAGGCTGTCAACAGAAGAAGCAACAAGATGGGCAGACTCTTTTGATGTCCTTTTGTCCCATAAATGTGAGTAGAAATCAAATTCCACCTTTTTTCCCCCCCTTGTACACTCAATACTGGTTGTAGCCAAGGCAAACAAAGGATGCATTGCGTTGGCCAGCACAGGAGTGGTCCCTGGAGTAGTTGCTTCTGACCCACCAGGTAATGGTCGCAGTCATTTATAGGTAGGACATGCCCTCTGGTTAAAAGGTGAGGGAGTGAGTTTCTGTGGGTTCCCTTCCAGGTTTTTCTCCTCACTGAGTGATCACAACTGATGATAAAGGAATCAACCCAAGGTCTTGCCTTCTCCAGCTCCTGGGGATGCACTGGAGGCAGGACCATGCCCTCTGGTTAAAAGGTGAGGGAGTGAGATTCTGTGGGTTCCCTTCCTGGTTTTTCTCCTCACTGAGTGATCACAACTGATGATAATCAACCCAAGGTCTCACCTTCTCCAGCTCCTGGGGATGCACTGAAGGCAGGACCCCAAGGCTGTACCCATGCATACTGTCCTTTGGCATGTGTCCCTGGGTCCAGTCACTCCACACAAGCAAATGGCAGGTTCTCAGCTCAATAAAGCCCCCTGAGACCCCCAACACTGGCTTATCTCCCTCTTCCTCCAGCTGCTCTGCTGAGCTTCGACACGGCATAGCAGCACAGCCTCTGCTGAGAGTGCTACGACACCTCAGCGTACGTTGTTCAGTAACCTTGAAGAACTTGCTCTGTAGCAGAGAAATCATGCATGGTGGTAGCCCAAATCATGCATGGTAGCCCTCATCATGCATGGTAGCCCAAATCATGCATGGTAGCCCTCTAGCAGGCTCTAATTTACAGCAACCAATGCAAACCTGAAAATTTCACACCCTGAAACCTTAGGCAAATATATAATCAGTGCACCTCGCTCCATTCAACAGATCAATTGTATCAGTTCTGTTCAGAAAATATTATCCTGCTTCACCAGCATTCTCATGCTGAGAAATTATAAACAAGACAGCAAAAGTTCACAGTATAGGTTCATTAATGTGTTTCTGTTGGAGAACAAAACAAGAGCGAGTCGAGATTGGGGAGAAGTCAATGTGGGCGGTGAACTATTTTATTGCAATAAGGAACTGTCTGGTTTTCTTAGAGATTCAGGTTTTTCCATGCTTATATTTTAAAATGTAAGTGTAGAATTACAATATTATTTCAAATAAAGGGTAATTTTGCTGGATTTCTACTGAGATGACAACAGTTTTGGCAGGAAATTAAGTGACAACTTTAAACAGGCTGGTTGTCCAAGGCAGAAAAAGCAATATATAATTTTAGCAGCAATATCTTGTTGAGATCATTGCTCTTGCAACCAGTAGGTGTAGCTGGGTATGGTTAAGCAGGAATGTTTCTTTTGTCGAAATTCCAAACAAGAAGGGAAAAATGCACCAGAGAGACTTAGAGGGTGCCTGGGGGATGAGGAGGGGGGAGGACAAGGTATTCACATCAGTGTTACAATTCTGTGCTTGAGCCCCTGTTCCTCCTTCACCACTTCAAAAGCTGATACAGATTGCAACCAAAGTGCTTTGGTTACAACAGCCAGTGAATTTACGCATCTATGTACTGACATTATACAGACTGTTCCCTCTTCAGCTGACTGCTGCGAATGCGAAATCAAACCTTAGTTCAATTATTTCATCCACCAGCCTCCACAAGAGTGTCTGTTTTTATTAATAAATTAGCCTTAGAGAGTGATAAATGAATTATCAGAATCTTTCCCGTCTCTAAGAAGGGAAAGTAATTCTGATAACTCTCTGGAACCTAATGAAAAATATTCAGTTCCTAATAGCAACAGAAGGTGGTTTTTTAAAAAATTTAAATTAATCTTTTTTTATCAGCTGTCATGGTGACATTGCCTGGTGATCAGTGACAAAAAAATTTGTTGTTTAATAAACTATTTTTGAAAGGAATATATTACAACTGCTCGGCACGGCAGAAACACACTATTAGAAACGTGTGCTGATGTCAGGTAAGGGAGTCTTGTGCCTGAAATATCAGAGTAAGAGAAGCAGCGCCTGGCCTGCCTGCATCTGTCTGTAGTAGAGCTGCCAGCTAATATTCTGTTCCGGGTGCCAAGAGAAGGACAGAACTGTCTCATTTCTCTGTGACTTGCCCAGGTGAACAATATTAACCAGGGAAAATTTGAATTCATGCTTGGGGGCATGGGCTAAGCACCAGCTGGGCTCAGGGAGGGTTTTCCCCTGAGGCTCACAGCATCAGCAGGTAGACTGCTTCTGCTTGACACATCTGCCATAAACTCTTTCTTTGCTAGATGGACAGTTTGTCTGCTTTGGAAGGAGATTGTGATGCTGATTTCAGGGGGTTGAGTATCACTTTCTGCTGCGGTCAGATGCTACAGTGGTTTTGGATCCCTTCCAGCCAACTTGTTCTTTGGGGGAAAAAAAAAATACCAGAGTGCTCAAGGAAGACTCAGGAGCTGGATGTAGGAGCTGAAAATGGGGCAGTCTTTGTGGGTAGCATTGCAAGGGGTTGGACAGATGCAAAAAAGAGCTCCAAGGAGCAAGAAAGTGGATCAGAGCTTCCTAAAAGATTCTCTGAAGAGCCAAGGGCTGACTGGCTGCCCTTGTACGTGGAGGAGGTTGGCAGGACTGCAGTATTTCTTATGGGAAAGGCAAACAAGTTGTACTCGTCCACTTCCTTTTTTCTTCAGTCTCCAAATGGAAGTGACCTGAATGGGTTGTAGTGGTTTCACTTGGCTGGCAGCCAAACACCATGGAGCTGCTTGCTCACCAAAACTGCAATCCTGGAAGAGCGAGAGCCCGAGTGAGTGAGAGTGAGATATTAATTAATATAGAACATATCATATAAGATATGGAATATCCCATTGGCATATCCAAATGTCAATTTGGATTACTGATTTTAATATTCCTCTCTCCCCTGCCCCAACTTTGCACTTGTAGACTAGCAAAACACGAAGTCCTTTGACTTCCAGCAACAATTGAAAACATCAGTATGTTATCAAAATTCTTCTCATAACAAATCGCATACTGAAACCAAAACACAGCACTATTCTAGCTACTGAGAAGAAACCCAGTTCTGTCCCAGCTCTAAATGATGACACAGGTATTGTGCATTATACAGATTCTACAGAGAGTGTCATTATGCTCATTTTTGTCAAATATCCGTTGAAGTGTGATGGCCCCCCCTTCCCTCTCCCGTGATTGTTTTAATGAATGATCTCTGTAGGTGATGTTTGATCCTGACATACTATTTCTGGCAGCATCTTGAGTGGAGGATTGAAAACCCCTGGGTTTTGAAGCAGTTGCCTGTCTTCAAAGATTCCTGGGCTGGGCAGTGCCCGTCTGTGTAGAGTGGTCTGATTTGGATTGTTTAATCCATTTAAAGAATAATTTATGTTGACATTAGGAAGAGACGGTGAGTAAGAAAGGCAGGAAGGTTCTCTCTGCCACACTCACACCTTCCTTTTGCACTGGCACTGTGATTTCAGCATCCCTCAGCCTATCCCTCCTAGAGTAACGGATGCTGAGTGGTGGGATGCAGCTCAGCTCCATTTCATTGACAGCCCCAGATGAGCAGGTTAA